GCCGTCTCAGACCCTTGGATTCCATTTTGTTTACATAATGATTATAAAGCATGGTAATAATTCATTTCAAATGGCCAACAGTGCAGGCTCTGTTAACTATCACCACCCGGACCTACGAAATCCTCAAGACTCAGTGAAAGACAACATGTTTTGTGTGTCAGGAGACGCTCACTTCAAAAGCATTCCTCAGCCCTTACACCATGTGTATTTAAACCCACACGCGCACACATGCCACAAGGCATATATCTAGTGACATACTACTGTAATAACAACACTCTGCACAGATTTCTGTTAAACAGGATGAACTCAGCACTCCATTCAAAGAATCTCCATTTCAGTCGCCAGAGCTGCTCTGACATGGGCTGATCTTGCTAAAAGGATCTTAAGATATTTTAACAGAACAGACAGGGGATGTATATTCAAGGCAGGGGACACACTTCAAAAGCAACAAGACCCTCTCAGTATGCCGGGGTCAAAGCAGCCAGAGTATTGAGTTCATGGTGAAAAAACGGCACCACAGATGTGTTCGGTAAAGAGCGTATAACATTATTGTCACTACACGCTTCTTAAGTGCAGTGTTATTCCATTGCTAAAATACAATCATGTCAATTCCTAAACAAACTGGCAGCTCAGAGGTCACTTCTACACTGTGCAAGCACTCCATACTATACCTGGATGTTTACACATTCAAGCACAGTCACAGTTATGCACACATACACACACTCGCCGAAATGAAAGGCAAGTCTTTATTTACTTTACCAAACCTGTCAGGAACTGCACATAGAGGGCCATTGTATGTTACTTGAGTGCATGTATTAACATAAATTAGGCCCCTGCCAATAGAAACCTCAAACATCAATCTACAGGGTTTCTGCAGGTTTCTTCAAATCAAATTTAGGACTTTTTAAGACCCTTTTAAGACAACTTTGAATGAAATTTTAGACTTAAATAGGGTTAAACACTAAGGATTTTTTTCTAATGGCCCAGTTACTTAAATAGTTTTTGTATTAATGGAAGATCATGTAAAGCTAAAGTTGAAGTCAGAATTATTAGCCCCCTTTTGATTTTATTTAATTTTTTTTAAATATTTCCCAAATAATTTTTAACAGAGCAAGGAAATTTTCACAGTATGTCTGATAATATTTTTTCTTCTGGAGAAAATCTTATTTGTTTTATTTCGGCAAGAATATAAGCAGTTATTAATTTTTTAAAAAACATTTTTGGGACAAAATTATTAGCCCCTTTAAGCTAATTTTTTTTTCGATAATCTACAGAACAAACCATCGTTATACAATAACTTGCCTAATTACCCTAACCTGCCTAGTTCACCTTATTAACCCAGTTAAGCCTTTAAATGTCACTTTAAGCTGTATAGAAGTATCTTGAAAAATATCAAGTAAAATATTATTTACTGTCATCATGTCAAAGATAAAATAAATCCGTTATTAGAAAAACGTTTTTAAAACTATTATGCTTAGAAATGTGCTGAAACAATCTTCTCTCCATTAAACAGAAATTGGTAAAAAAATATATATAAATAAAAAGGGGCGCTAATAATTCAGGGGGGCTAATAATTCTGACTTCAACTGTATGTGTTGCTTTTAGTTTTCTTTCCCTGACTAAAGAAATAAAATCAGAGAAATTGCTGTAAACATGTTTTGAGATTATAGTTGACAGATTGGGTAGCTTTACATTGACGTAGGAAAATAAAGACCTTTTTAAAATTATTTAACACCTACAACACAATATTTCATTGAATTTAAGACTTTTAGGCCTAACGTTTTATTTTTGAGCCCCTATTATACATAAAAAATGGTCATATTTTAGTTTTAGGGGTCTCCAACAACAGTCGAAAATGCATGCAAGGTCAAAAAACACTTTCATTGTCTTATAATCTGCATTTATTTTACCATAATTATCCCAGCGACTCCCATTTGAATCGTTCAGGGATTCATTTGTTCCCAAAGCCCTCCTTAGCACGAAGCTAATCTGCTCTGATTGGACCGAAGACAGCCTGTTGCGTTTGGTCGACAGCATTCGGCGTGAGACAGAGTGAAATGCCCAGCACTTCATATCAACAATATTGAAGTAGTCAAGAGTGCAGAGTTCATGTGTGAGCATACCTGCCAAGACTTCTGTTTTTCCCGGGAGTCTCCCGTATTTCAGACCCATCTCCTGCCACTCTCCCGTTTTGTTATTTGTCCAGAAAAACACCTGTAATTTCAACTCCCCCGTTCCTCAGCATTTTGGTACGGTCTGTGAAACCCCCAAATCGTCAACATTGGTATAGGATCCGATCGCAGTTGCCGCCCGAAACACACTTTATAGTGGTTACTAACACCACAGTACCTGGTTCTCAACAGTGTTATTCAGACACCTCACCCCCGAACCTAACCCCCCTGGTCTCCTGGATTTTCAGGGACAGATGTTGGCAGGTATGTGTGTGAGCCTAGTGCAGTTAAACACCAGCATATTTCTCTATTCTTAACCATAAATAAAATCAGTGACACATTCAGTATTAATTTACACAGTGCCAAAAGCTAAACTACTCTGAACCTTGACTGCCGCACGTAGGTAGGAACAGCTGACGGTGGCCATAGCAATGACAAACAGCAGTGGAACGCATCTAAATCCGTAAACAAAGTGGCACACGTCTTGTTTTCAACGAGGTTTTAGACACGATATGAGAATATAAAGAGTTAACGTATACAGTACAAGCAGTTACAAGTAACAAAACAAAATTAAACAAATAATTTGCAAGCTAGAGAAAAACAAGGAGGCAACTATTTTACTTACACTTGTGAAATGAAGCAAGAAACTGATCCGCGATCCACTGATCCATGCACTAATAAAGTTTCTGTAAAGCTCTGATATAGGCCCGATGCCAATTTCACCCTTTAGCCCTTCCCCCTACTCCTCGTTTTGCGTGTGCACGCCAAGGGGTAGGGGTGTCCCAATTCTCTTTAGCTTGAAGGCGTAGGGCTAATGGTAAGGGGTGAATAGCGCTTCAAACAAAGATTTTCCAGGACCACACTTGAAACCAGGGGGTAAAAAAAGTTCCCAAAATACACCTGCAACAACGGCAGTATTGCTGAACCCGGAAGTAAGGAGATCCACAAATTAGTATTTTTTGTCATTATTACGAATTTTTACGACAAACAAACACGTTTTAAATTATTCATAACTGCGTACGTGTTTTACTGTCATGCTTTAAAAAAAAAAAACGCTAAATTTTGTGATCTATAATCCCTTTTAATAACTCCTGTACAGCAGTCCCACAACATTCTGGCACTCCAATACCCTGTCAGTAATGTCTAGTGGCTGGGTATGAGCTTTTTGTAGAGTTCCTATTTGTAGGACAAATAGAATTCGAAATTCTTTTATAATGGTAGCCGTTAGGTCATTAAAGGAGTCCACTGGGGAGGGACATACATCTAAAAAAATTTATTGTATGCGTTGTGGTAACGTTTTGGTAATGTGTACATAAATCCAGGCCTGGATTGGCTAATCGGGAGGACCGGGAGAATTCCCGGTGGGCCGGTCCATTTTTTGGCTGCGAGGGCCGGTGTCCCTAGCTCCAGAATCTGTTGCTCTCAGCAGTCACACTTTTTTAATTAATTAATTTATTTACTTGACCACAGTGTTCTTATTCATTATTTTACCAGCTCTGCTCTTTTTATCTATTTTATCTAATGATGATATAACTCAGATGAGTCAGCTCTCAATGTACATCTGTTGTGGTCCAGTGCTTAGCACATTAGGTTACGATGCCACCGACACAGGTTTGATCCTCGTCTGTGTAATTAATTTTTTTCATTTTTATTTTTAAGACATAAAATACTGTTAGGGTTGTTGAACATTTGAAGTTCTGAAGCAGCTGTTTTCTCAAAAAAAGACGTGATAGTGTAATTAGAAACTGAATTAGAAATGACCTTATTTTAATATAGTCAGTCGTGAACTGAGGTGGGCTGGTCTGAGGCTTAAAACTCCAGGGCTGAAAAGGAGTCCCACTCCGGCCCTGCATAGATCTTTGCCTGTGTTATGTCACCTTGCTGCAATTTTAATTTCCCTAAACAGGATAATAAAGTTGAGACTGAGTCTGAAAGGTACAACTTTTGCATTACCAGAAAGGTAATTTAGCTTGGCATGTATGAATAAATGTGCATCTGTCAACTCTTACAAAACATACTTTCACAATACTGCAGTAAAGTGATAATCTCAAATGGCTACGCCGTGGTATGTTTAATGCTTACAATTAACCCTCCAAATCCTATGGAACATTAATGGTTCCACAGTCATATCACCCTGCAGCCCAAGACTGGTTACTCACTGAAGCTAAGCAGGGCTGAGCCTGGTCATTACCCGGATGGGAGACCAAAAGGAAACACTAGGTTGCTGTTGGAAGTGGTGTTAGTGAGGCCAGCAGGGGGCGCTCAACCTGTGGTCTGTGTGAGTCCTAATGGCCCGGTATAATCGAAGAGGACACTACACTATCAGTGGGCACCGTCTTTCGGATGAGACGTTAAACCGAGGTCCTCACTGTCTGTCGTCATTAAAAATACCATGGCACTTCTCGTAAAGAGTAGGGGTGTATCCCCGATGTCCTGGCCAAAGTTCCTCAATCGGCCCTTACGATCATGACCTCCCAATCATCCCCTTCCACCGAATTGGCTCTATCACTGTCTCTCCACTCCACCTATAGCTGGTGTGTGGTGAGCGCACTGGCGCCGTTGTCCTGTGGCAGCCGTCGCATCATCCTAGTGGATGCTGCACACTGGTGGTGGTGTAGAGAAACCCCCACTCATGATTGTGAAGCGCTTTGGGTGTATGCGCTATATAAATACACATTACATTACACTACAATGGTTTTACCCATTTAAACATTTAAGCAGAATACTATTGTATTTTATCCCAAACCCTCACTATATCTCGTAGTCTGTAGCAATCAATAAATGGACTGATTTGTATTGACTGGCGAATGTATCAGGATTGTCTCTTACCTGATAGGTGAGATTTGGCTTTCCCCATTGATTGTGTCTTTCCATTAGTGTAAAGGGAGGCTGAGCGTGTCATGTGACTCTGTGGCTGTGTAGGGATTGGCTTAAATTCTGGGTCGAGGTCCAGGATCAGCTGATTGAGCTGTTCGATTGATTGATCCAAAGCCATGACATCATCCTTATCTGTCTCTGACGGCGCCTCTGGAAGACAATTATCTGGCGTTGAAGGCTTGCTTGCATCACTTCGGAGCTCCTGCTTGACTTCCAGTCTGTCTGTTGGAGTGTGTGCGTAAGATGTAGACTGCTGTTGTTTCACCCATATACGTGTCTGATATCCTGCAGGAACTGAAGTGTCTATGACAGAGTTCGAGGTATTCACGTCACCACGAAATTTGGCAGGAGAAGCTTCATTTTGATAATCAGAACTCTGACCTGAAGACAAACCAGACGTTTCCTTAAAGGACAGCGAGTCTGAAACAGCAGCAATGGCATCATTAGGGGAGGTGATGTCATCCTCATCGTCATCTATAATGTCTGTCTCCCGCTCTGTGAACATAGAGTCACCATTTAAGTGTCCAGAATAATCAAGAACGGATTGACTGGTTGTAGGGTCCCGTCTCAAGGTGCCTGGAGATGATTGTTCCTCCTCCATTCTGAGTCCAGGGGTCACTGTGTTGAGCTGGTTGTTCTCCTCAGGGCTGTAGCTGATTAGGAGCCCAGAGGCTTGTCCTCCGGTCCACTGGGAGGAGCTGGAGAGTCCAGAGTCACTGCTTAAAGAGCGGGTGCCTTCGTGTGGCTTGGCTGTGGAGGAAAGAACCAAAATAATCACTATAATAAAATGACATTTTAATCAATGTTTAGATTAAAAGACCACTACAATTTCACATAATTACAAATTACAAAAAAAGAGACAAAAGCATAAATACAATTTAGTTTGCTTAAAAAAAAATCTTGTTATTCATTAATCAATTCCCCAAGATGTCTTCAAAACACAAATTAAGATATTTTAGATTAAATCCAAGATTTCTCTAGTCCTCCTTTAGCTAGATTTATCCTTTCACCTGGCGCTGCACTGCGCACTAGAGCTGAAGATCTTTGCCCGAACCCGACGGATTTAATTTCTATCATTTTAAACGGGGTCGGGTCAGGCGCATTAAATGAACAGCCATGTGATGCATTTCGATTAGCGCAAGAAAGTAATCAAATTGTTTGTTACAGCATTAAAATCCATCTCTGCTAATGTGAAACAAATAATGACGGAGAAGTCAAAAAGAGTCAATTTTGACTGCGGTCAGGCCAGCCGCCGGTTCAAAAAGAACAGTCATTCTAGCTGCCAAAGTATTTCGGCAGTCACTCATACACTGCGTATTACGGTAGAGCGCTAAACAGCAACGTATGTACAGAAAGCTGAGAGGGAAAATGACGAGTTCACTCGCTACATTGAAACTTCTGTCATGGAAAATGAAATTTACATTTACATTTAGCCGATGCGTTTATCCAAAGCGACTTACAAATGAGGACAAGGAAGCAATTTGCACAACTATAAGAGCAACAATGAATAAGTGCTGTAGGCAAGTTTCAGGTGTGTAAAGTCTAAGAAGGAAAGCGTTAGTAATTTTTTATTTTTTTTTGTAGTTAGTGGAGGAGTCAGAGAGGGAGTTGCGTTTTAGTAAGGAAAGTGGAGACTGAATAGTTGAGTTTTTAGTCGCTTTTTGAAGACAGCGAGTGACTGCTGTTCTGATGCAGTTAGGTAGTTCATTCCACCAACTGGGCAGATTGAGCGCGAGCGTTCGGGAAAGTGTTTTCTTGCCTCTTTGAAGCAACGTTCATTCACAGAACGCAAGTTTCTGGAGGGCCTATAAATCTGCAGAAGTGAGAGCAGATAAGAATAGGCGCAGCCAGAAATCGCTTTGTAAGCAAACATCAGTGCTTTGAATTTGATGCGAGCAGCAACTGGCAGCCAGTGCAAATGGATGAGCAGCGGAGTGACGTGCTCTTTTAGGTTCATTAAAGACCACTCGTGCTGCTGCTGTCTGAAGCATCTGAAGAGGTAAATGGATGTTCTTGGCTAGTAGAAGATGAACAAACAATCCTACCCAACACTTGCAAAATTAGCCAGATCAGAACTATGCGTCTCGGCCTGTAGCAGCAGCAGTGAAAGGGTGTTCTGTGCTGCTGGACGCACCATCCTGAGCGCAGAACTGCTTGATTCAATAATGTTCCTCCACAAAAACACATAGCCTAATCTTGGTCAGTAAAGGGTTTTTAAACTATAAATAAATATTAATTAAATATAAGAGTATATAGGCTAATGTTGGCATTATTCTTCTATGACTGGTGGAAAAACATATTCTGTGATTGTGTACCTGGCTCACTTTTGCCACGGCCTCTTTTGTTTTGTTTTTTAAAAACCTTTTAACCAAACCTTTTAACCAAAACTTTCCTTCTTTCTAACGGCTGTTGCTATTTCTAGCCAATAATTATTGATCATCTGGTTCTCTCTATCATAAAGGGTCATAAAGGTGTCTGTACAGTCGTACTGTTTCAAAAAAAATCTCTTCAAAGTGTTTCATATTCAACTCAAATCAAACGTGGCGCACTGTTCACTCGAGTCTCAAAAAATGCTGAAATCATGTCGCGCGCACCCTAAGTGAACTTTTGCTTACACCGCAATGATGTCACATTCGCCGTGCGGACTCAAGCAAACTAGCAGACACGTAGAGCAGTGGTTCCCAACCTTTTTCTTAGGGGCCCCCCCTATAGGCATATACAAACATTGGAGCCCCCCCACCATTAAAATACACACTCACGCACACACATATGTACTATATATATATATATATATATATATATATATATATATATATATATATATATATATATATATATATATATATATATATATATATATATATATACTGTATGTGTGTGTTTGTGTAATATTAATATATAATATGTATAGAAACTATAAATTAATCAGTTTTAACTTGTCTTGGCCTTCAATAAAACCAAAATTTAGGTAGGCTTTGCCATACTGTTTAATCTTCTTCTTCGCCTCTGAAGAATCACTGCATTTACGTCTCTCTGCCGATTTTGTTTTGATTTTGCCTTTACGACACGTTGACAAGCACATTGCGTGAGTGAGCAAAATTTAAATAATTATTTAAAGTTATTTATTTAAATTATTTTTACTATTATGTTGGAATTTTAAGCATATGTTTTGATATATATATATATCAAAACATATGCTTAAAATTCCAACATAATAGTAAAAATAGCTGCTCGATTTTGGGAAAAATCATAATCACGATTATTTTGGTCATAATTGTAATCACGATTATTTAAAACGATTATCAGTTAAAGTCAAAATTATTAGTGCTCCTGAGAATTTTTTTTAATATAAATATTTCCCAAATTATGTTTAACAGAGCAAGGAATTTTAACAGTATTTCCTATAATATTTTTTCTTCTAGGCTTATTTGTTTTATTTTAGCTAGAATAAAAGCAGGTTAAAATATTTAATTTAAGGTCAATATTATTAGCCCCCTTAAGCAATAAATATTTTTGATTGTCTGCAGAAGAAACTACTATTATACAATGACTTGCCTTATTACCCTAATTAAGCCTTTGAACTGCACTTTAATCTGAATGCTTGTATTTTAAAAAATACCTAGTGAAATATTATGTGCTGTCATCATAGCAAAGATAAAAGAAATCCGTTATTAGAAATGAGATATTAAAACTATTATGTTCAGGAAAAAAAAAAAAAAACTTCTTTCCATGAAACAGAAATTGGGAGGAAAAGGGTTGCTAATATTTAGGAAGGCTAATAATTCTGACTTCAAGTGTTTACATGCAGTTATTTTCCACCCTGCAAAGGAAAGAGAAATAAATACAATAGAATAAAAATATTAAACAAACTGTGCTTTATGCATCTTCACTGTAAGAAAAACACTTTAGCTACAGCAGTCCTTCAGTCAAGACTAGTGAGGGATTTTCTAGTTGTTTGATTAATAATCATAGAAACAGGCGGCAGCAGGAATATTTTGCGCTGTCTCTTTGGTTTCTCTTTCACATGTCTTTTGATTCTCAACTCGTTTGTTTATTACACAAATGAGGGTTAATATAAATAATCACTAATCACCGCGTTTTGACACCTATTTGAACATTAGAAAGCTCATGTTAATGACTTTAGATGTCTGCACTCCTCTGCTCGTCTCAGAGTGCGAATTAGCGAATGCTGACGGCCGCATGCTTCTGACTGAGTGTGCTTGCTGCGCACACACACATAAGCACGCGCTCGTTCGGGCTTTTAGGAGCAACACGTGTACAACTAGAAAGGTGGCGGTATATGATGCAATAAGCGTTTATCTCGATTAATGCTTTTTTATAGTCGTTTGAAATCGAAATCGGATTTTCGATTAATTGTACAGCCCTATATAATAGTGGAGCATTTTATGCCTTTTTCTACCTCAACACTTATCCTCTCCCGCGCCCCCCTTGTGAACTCTGGCGCCCCCCTTAGGGGGGCGCGGACCCCAGGTTGGGAACCACTGACGTAGAGTATAAACCAGGCTTTAGACAGCAATGTTTCCATGATGTTCAAAATCCAGAGAAGGGACCAAAAAAAGTGTCGAAACATTTTATTTAGGGTGCTTTCACACTTTGTTCAATTAGAAAAAACCCAGGTTCGATTTCCCCCCTTGCCACCTTCTCGGCTGGTTTGTGTTCACACCATCTTTTTTCCTTCTGAACCTCGGTATGTTTGCGTCATCGAGCTGCTGTTGTGTGTACGGCTTTTGGTAGGTGACGGCCACAAAATGGAGACGTCTGCATATCACGGTCTTTCAGCTTTTACTTAATCTTTTAATGTTGTTACCAAAACCAAAATACATATCCAATTGTGAGCGTATATCTGCCGCAAAAAAAAAAAAAAAAAAAAACATTCAGAACATCATGCGATGTCTGCAGAAGTCATTTTTGGTGAAGACAAGCAGACATTTTCACTGTTTGCACTGGGTCAGTACCGCTTGTCACCAAGGTAGACATAAATGAACGTTATGAAAACTAAAGTTTGTTGTACAGTTGTTAATTCACTTCTGTTATTTGGTAAAATTGCATTCATATCAGAAGTGAACCATACCAGAGTTTGCCTGAACTGCACCCAAACCACCTCTTTCCGTCTCGGGTACGGTACACGGCTGAGTTCAGAAGACACATTCACATTAGTTAATACCTTACTTTGACAGCAAACAAACCTTGTTGTGGATCAAAAGTGCTAGTGTGAAAGCACCCTTCATTTCATTGGTTCAACTGTAATCATGCGAAGCTCCAAAAACAAATTTATGTGCCAAAAAACCAGCCTGATCTCATGAGAAAACTTAAATATTTTACATTTTGCCAGTTTAGTGGCTAATTTGTACGAGTTCAGTCGTATGAAATTGTACGACTTTAACCCCACCCCTAAACCCGACCATCATTGGGGGATGAGCAAATTGTCTGAATTAGATCGCACAAATTCATACGAATTATATACGAATTGAAATTGTGTTGCAAGAAACTTTAAAATAAACTTTTTTTTTTTGCCAATGTCTTCTTTTCCTTGTCACAACGTATTGCCAATAGAACCAGCAGCGCAACAAGCATCATTTTGCTCATTGTAACCAAACACCCTGATCTGACCTGGAAGACATGGGCAAAAAACGTTAAAAACTTTTTGGCACACTTAAATGTTCTTGGAGTTTCATATGAAGACAATTGAACCACTGAAGGCACATATGGTGTTTTCACATCTGTGGTTC